TTAGAGAAGGATGCCAATATTCTAGCCATTGTTGTAGGCCTAGAAGCCCCAAGGTATCACACTCTAACTCACCGGTTTTCCACCACACAGTGAACCCCCAAGAAGAGAAGAACAGAGAGCCCCCCAAAGTCGAGCAGAAGAGAGAAGAAAAAGAGAGATATGTCGTATGGAAGAAGCCAATGTTAAATCAAGAAAATATCAAGCCAAGAATGAAGCCCAGCCGTAGATTAAAATCCAAGGGTCAAGAGTGCTCCAAGTAAAGAACACCATCCGGGTCAACATATGTGGGCTAAGGAACTGGCCCAACTAGTTAGGAGAACCACACATAAGGGCCCAAAAACTTACAATCATTTTCATTGTTGGTGGCTGTGGGAGGTGCGACGGCGCGTTGGTGGCTGGTGGGTTCTAATGGCTGCACAAGCTGGGTGGGGTGAAGAAGAAGAAGAACAATATTATTTTCTTTTAATTATTACTTCAATTATTTTATGGGGATAAATAGGAAAGCAATCATTTTGCCATTTTAAAATTTGGTCAATTTTTACTATTGTGGTCAACTAACAGTCAAATGGATGGATTCATTTGGACTTTCGGTGCATATTTTTGAAACGTTTGGGACTTCCTCTGGCACAAAACAAAGGTTAGGATAAAGTCTGCAAAAATCTGAAAGGTTTGGGATCACTGCTGCAATTTTCCCTTTTTTTGTTTATCTGACCAACAATTAATTGTGTAATTCTAAAAAAAACAATGTTAGTTTTTTTCTCCTATTATGTTTTTATTTTAAATTATATTTACTTTCCAAAAAACTGAAAAACGACGAGCTAGCTTGGAAAATTGGTGGGTGCCTAGGCTAGTTCAACTCCATCGGGCCCTCTGATTTTATGTAGAAAAATGCTAAACGACCCGCACCGGTGACCGCGGGGATGACCGCACACTCACAGTTGAGGCGCGGGTCCCATGTAAATAAAATAATCTCGACCCCCCATGTGTGTACACGGTCATCCATGCGGTCACCCACACGGACACTGTAGCACGGCTCTTTTATGTATTGCTTATGTCACGCTCGAAAGTTGAAAATTTACATGCATAATGTTCAATAGCATCGTTCCATTGTTTTGATGTTAATTTGTGCCAATTTAAATCAATATCTTGTATGGTTTCAGAGGCACACTTGCATTTCTTACACAATACATGTAAAGTATAGTTCAATTCTTTATATTAGTCTAAAATTCTCTAAGAGCTTGTATGGTGTGCATGAATTCTATCTTGCAATGACTCTAGTATACATTTTGCATAATGCCGACTCCATAGTCGACCTTAAAAAGAAGTGAGATTTTATTTCGGCATTCATTATCCAAACTTTCTTGTACAATCAAAAACATTTTATGAGATTCTATCAGAACATGACTTTGGGAGGGTATTTGATTGCATTTTTAACAATCTTTTTTGTAGCAGCATCACCAAGATCAATGCCACAAATATCAGCCAACCTGATGAGATAAAGAAGCACATCAGATAATTCTTCACCAAGATGCTCTTTATCTGCTTCTTCCCAGTTTGGCAACCCTTTGTCCACCTCTCCCTTCCACTGAAATATCTCCGATAGCTCTCCTACTTCACCAACCTGTATTCATATATGCCAAAAGATATCATGATTAGGAAAACTCGAACCAGTGGTGGAGCAACTTAAAGAAATTTCAACATACAAATATGTTCTTAATGCCACATGATACTTCATCATTAGACTATTTTAAATACAGTCATATATTGCCAACTAACATTATGTCACTCTATCTATCAACCACTTTCTGACAAAGTGGCATAACCCTATCATCCAATGAAGTTATAACTTTAATTTCATAGTCTTAAAATATTTATGCGTAAAATAGATGATGTTTG